AAGACACAAGATCCCAAAGGTCAGGAATATTCTCCGTGACAGGAGTGTTTTCTTACTTCTAACATGATTCTAAGTTTACTGGAGATAAATAAAAAGCTTAAAAAACCAGAAGATCCAAATGAGTGTTTCACATCTATGAATACCTAATAAACAAAGCCAGAGAGAAAGTCTCAGATGCTCAGAGCTACAAGGACCCTCAAAGATCACCAAAGCTACCCACTCCACAACATAACCAGCTCCTGGCAATCCCCAGCTTCCTTGCCCAACGGGCTTTCAGCCCACATTTCCCAGGGCACAGCTGTCTCCTAATGCAGTACATTCTGCTCTGGGACTTAGAAAGTCCTTCCTGTGGCTAAGCCAACATATGCCTCAGTGTCTTCTCGGTGTCAAACAGGACTACTACCTCTTTCATGGGTTGGTTGGATATTGGAAGACAATTACGTTATCTCTGTTCACTTGTCTCTTTCTTTTCCAGGCTGTCCTTAGCCATTTCTCAGACCCCATTGCAGGGCTAAGAGAGTGGGACACAGATTGAGCTTCTGATTACAAACAAGAAACCTTAAGCTGCATCCACAGAACAGAACACCATCAGCATCATACAGGTGGCTCTGGGTGGTCACTACCTGTCCTGTTTCTACAGGCCTCCGTGCCTTTCTTTCTCTGAGTTAGGATGGTGAGAGTATACCAGGCAGCGTGTCTGGATGGCATAAGCTGGATAACTGTACTCTTAATTTAACTGAGCTCTACTTCTCAACATGCTCCTATGTAGCAATTTCTCAGCATCACCGAAGAATAAGATCTTGAGAAACATAGTTATGAATGCCATGGAGACCACCCCTACAGAGACCGCCCCTACCACACCTACCTATGTGGCACAGGGAAGAGAAATTCTGTAATAAGGGAAGACTGAACTTAAGTCCCACCTCTACCGCTTAGTTGCCATTTAGATTTTGGACAATCCTTGGTTTCCACATCTATGTATGTGAATATTACCCACATCTCAGGTGTGCCGTAAGGAAGCAATGAGAAAACATCCTATCATATGGCACCTAACACACAGCAGAGCTACTTTTTCTTTCCTTCTTTTAAATGGGAACCACATTTGGGGTGAATTTTCTTTAAAATGTTAACATTCCTAGAATATTTAAGATGATCTGATCTTCTGTAATTTGCTTCCTCTAATTTCAAGCATCACAGGATGTCCATGGTTTTAAAATATTTTCTAACCCAAACTCTATGCAAATAGATTTAGATACTTTAGGTAATGTTACTAAATGGTACCACTTATTTTCTGATAATTTACATGAATCTACTTGCTAAGTACACTTATGCTGAATTCTAATTTATATATCTTTTAACTTTTAATCTATGAAAGTGGTATTATTGTGACACACTGGCTTTTTATTCAATGCTTCCAAAAGCTCAAAATAGTTTAGAAGATGACCACTAGCCAATTACATCTCAACACAGGAAAATAATCCAGGAACAAAATGGTAAGTTAACACATTTTTTTTTCCTTTTTGTCTTTTTTCGTGACCGGTAACGGAATCGCAACCCTCGGTGTCGTGCC